TACTGCTCTTAATTATTGTGTCTTGTTTCTGATTATTTTAACCTTCCGAGGTCATTCTGTCTTTTATTCTTAAGATCCTTCCATGGTTGTTATCTTGGTTTCAGACCAGACTCAGCCTAAAAATTTTTAACTCTCTCCTTCTGTCATCAGTGCTACTCGTGTATGTCACATGAGCTCTGCTGAAGTGTCCACCCTGTGGAGGGTGGGACATCACCTGCAAATCCCAGCATCCTGCATCCTGCCAGTCGGTGCTGGTGCTGTGGTGCAGGTGGATATCTGCCAGGTCTTCAGTGCTCTTTTGGCCATGAACTGCTGGCCTTGAAGGTCTTTTCCAGCAGTGGATCCCTCCTCGAGGACAGGCAGCAGCTGCTCCAGCAGGTTCTTGGTGTGTGCTGCTGCAGAGCACCGTGGCCTCTGCTTTGGGACCCACGTTTCTGCTTTTTCTGTAGGATTGCTGATGCCTTTGATCCTGTCAGCATCTCTCTCTCTGCCATTTCCACCTCCTCTCTGAGGCTGGCTGGAAGGAGCACTAGTGAAATGATGCCTTACATTACAAGAACATTTGCTGCATAATGTTCACTAATATTAAGACTTTGATGTTGTTTTGCTCATCATCTGCTCTTACTCCATAGTCAGAGGGGAAGTGCATTCACACAAGAGTGACTGGGTAGCAAGTGGGATTGCAGAAGTTTAAATAGTGGGGACTTTTAGTCTAAGTATTTTGACTAAATTTAGACTTTTAGTCTAAGTACTACTTACATGTTTAAATAGGTGGGGACTTGCTGGAGAAAAACCCTCTGAGTGAGTGTGTTTGACTGCAGAATAACCAGTGGTACCTTCCACTCAGATTCTGTTATCAGGGTGTTTTTAGTACATGAGGAATTTTTTTTAATCTAAAAGAAGAAGCATGATGGGTAGTTCCTAATCAGAAACAATATGAGAAGCCTCAATTAGATGCATTTTCCATGACATAAAATGAATAAAAAACCCACTTAAAGACACCAGCACCATTATCATGAACAATGAGGCAATTTCTCCTCCAGTATTTTAAGTGCGTAGCTGTAACTTCAGAATCATTTTCCCCAACAACATGCATCTATCCAGGGCTGTTCGGGATTACTTTGTTTACCATACTGGAAGATCAATTCTAAAAGTATGCACTGAAGTCTGAATAATTTATTTTCCAATCCATTAGAACAATTTGGAGGATCTGATTCCACAGGCAGCTTTTCTGCCGGGAGAGAGAGCGCCCGCGTGTCGGGGTCTCTTGGGGAAGGAGAGACAGGCTGAGTCTGTGCTTTTACTCAGGCTTTACTGCCTGTATTTATAGATCCCTATGAGCAGTTGGTCCTGAGCAGAATAAACTGCCCCTGCCAAAGCCATTTGCCAAGGGCAGGGCTTGTGGAGAACCCCTGCTCGTGTCTTTGTGCTCAGGGCTTTGCAGTTTGGGCGCGGATGGAGCCAATCTGAGATTTACACTGAGCTCTGTCCTGGAACAGAGAGACTCAGAGGCCTCAGAGCTCTCAAACCTTAGGGCTGTGACACCATCCCTCCTGGTGGGCCATGGTTTTGGATGTAGAATGAAAGTTTTTACCAAAAAACCAGCAACGTTTTGCTGTGGGTTTTGCCACGAGCTGCTTTGCTCGCAAGAGCGGATGGTCACAACCAGTGGGGAAGAGAACATGTTAAACATTTCACAAGGGGATTTAAAAAATGAGGTTGTCAGTAGCCCAACATCTTCGAGGGGGTTTTGGTGTGTGGGTTTTGGAAAGTCACCCCGTGGAGTCCATGCAGAGCCCTGTTTGGCTGCCAGCAGAGCGGGTTCAGGCCGTGCCCTTCCCGCTAATCGTTGTGCTCTGGTGTTCTCTCTTCTCTCCACGGCAGCTCGCCTGGGAGCCCCCAGCCTGTCAGGAGTAGCCCTGTGAATGGTGTTGGCTTTGTTTAATTTCACATCCCTGAAAGCTGTCAAGGTTTATCATCTCAGCACTCTGCTGCTGACAGCTTGGTGCAAAGGAGGAGTGGGGTAGGGGGAGAAAAAGTGGAGGAAAGGGAACAACATAACTAAGAAAAATAATCTGGAGCTTAACAAGCTCCTCAGATACCAAGATAAGAAATGGAAGCAGACAGGCAGCACAGAACCAGCTACAGCAGTTTTCTCTTTGCTCTGATCCAGAATAAATAAACATGATCTCTCTGATTGCTGGGCCTCAGACCGGGAGTGATGCTGCTGCTCGGTTCAGGATTTGGGGAGTTGGGGATGGAGTGAGCTTCTAGACTGTTTGGGAACAGAAAATGTCCTGCTGTGGTTGGAAAGGCTCCTGGGCCTCTTGGTGGGTCGTGGTTCCCTTAAGCATTTCCTTCTCCAGGTGGTGTTAAGGTCATTGGATGGAGACTTAGGGGTGTGCTTCACTCCGTGGTGGAAAGGGGCCTTTGGAGAGCAGGTTAGACTGGACCCAAGAGCAGGTTAGACTTAGGAGCAGCCTGTTTCCCAGGGCTTGGTGTGACAGCTTGGTGACTTTATTCAAGGGCCACAAAGGGAGGTTCCAGTGTGGCTGAACTCAGGTGGAGCAGCTTGGCAGCGTGTGCTGACACCTCCTCTGAGCCACACGGTTCGGTGCTGGGGGTCCCTTTGTGCCTGTCAGGGTTGGGAAGAGCTGCCAATTGTCCCTTCAAAACAGGCAGATGATGAGCTGCTGGAGAGCCTGGTGTGTGTTAGAGTGTCTCTGACTCAAGGGCAATGTAGTGAGAGAGTCCTGCTGACCAGCTGACCTGAAACCTTCACCCATGGGTGCAGCCATGGTTGGGGTGTTTCTGCAGGAGCCATCTCCTGGGCTTGTGGTGTTCTGTGCCTCTGGTGAATTCCCAGTTTCTGCAGACAGGAATGACTTTGGAGGGACAAGCTGCTGGAATCAAATGTCCTAAGGGCAATGGTGTCTTGAGTGTTACACCGTGTACATCATGAAGAATTTAGTGGGTGATGGAGGAGCAGGCAGGTCTGGCCTTGCCTGAACAGCAGCATCCCTGCTGAGACCCACCTCCCAGAGTGCAAGTGATAGCTACAGAGTCATGGAACAGTTTGGGTGGGGAGAGACCCTTAAAAGTCATCTTGTCCAAACCCTGCAGGGAGCAGGGACACCCCCAGCTAGAGCAGGGTGCTCAGAGCCCTGGCCAACCTCCCCTGGGATGGTGCCAGGGATGGGGCAGTGACCACCTCTCTGGGCAACCTGGGCCAGGGGCTCAGCACCCTCAGCAGCAACAATTTCTTCCTTCTCTCTGGTCTAAATCTCCCTACTTTCAGTTTAAACCCATCACCCCTCGTCCTGTCCCAACAAGCCCTGCTCAGAAGACTGTCCCCAGCTTTCTGACAAGCCCTGTGTGGGTTGTGGGCACTGATGTCCCCCAAAGCAGCACGTGGAGCCTGAGAGGTGCTGAGATAAGGCACCTCCTGCTGCTGAACTGCTTCAGGACCAAGCAGGGAGGATGAGAGCTTTTGTTTATGGCTCCTCAGTTACCCTGAAGTGTTTGCTGGGGGTCACCTTCTCTAAGCATTCTTCTCCCTCCTCCCCCTGGTTATTCTTCAGTCATTTTAGACCACGTGAAAGGTCATGGTCCTTGAGCAGGCACAGAGGGGAGGTGATTCCAGTGGGTGTGGCCAGGGCGTGGCCCATCCACTGGTGGTGCTTGTAGAGGCACCTTGCTCAGGGGTGCAGATGGCAATACAGGGTGTCTGTCTGTGAAAAAGCTGCTGGATGGGGTGACTTGAGGCCGTGTCCTGGAGTCTGCCTCCAATCCGTGGAGGCACAGAGGTCAGTGCAGCTGAGGAGCATCACAGCAAGGTGTCCTTTGGCTCAGCTCTTCCTTTTCCCCTCCCTGCTTCATGAGCTGCCTTCTGTTCCCCCACTCTGTGCAGATGTTTAATTGATACACTCCTATCTCTGCCTCGCTGCTGCTCTGTGAACACCATTTCTTCCCTCTAGCCTTTAATTGATTTGGATAATAAAGTGCAATTATAAAACTCAATAAAAATTGGTTATTTTGAAGGGAGAGCAGGAAAGAAGGGAAGCAAAGTGATGCTCTGCGGTGTGGCTGCATAATAATGCAAAATCCCCTTTGGTTCAACCCTGTCTAATTGCTCAGCTTTGCTCTGTTACAGTGCTGCAGGCTTGCTTGCAGTTAGGAGCAGCATGCCTGTAAATGTCTGTGGGTTTTAAGAGTTGCTTGCCTGTGTGATAATTGTAACCTCTGTGTTTCTGTGGTGGCTGCTGCCTGCAGTGGCATCCTCCCTTCTCCTCCCCGATCTCCCTCCTGCCTGTCTCCCCTCTCAAACTTTTCCTGAACTAACCAAATCCCCTTCTGAGGTCTGAATTCCCAAACCAGTGGCCACATTAGGACCAAATCTCTGTTTGGGGAATTTTTTTTGATGTTAAGTGACCATTCTCCCTCCTCCTCTGGCCCTTCTACACTCCCAAGGGAGGCTGGACCTGGGGCCAGGACTCAGCAGGGTGTGAGGTGGCCTCCCAGGGGATGGTGCTCTGGCAGGATCTGTGTGTGGCACATGCTGGGGGTGGGGGTGGTGTGATGGGCTCGAGGAGCAGGAGGTCAGAAGTGCTTCAGCCATCCTGGGCAGCCCTCTGAGGTGACTAGAGAGGAAATGGATTTTTTCAGTGCCTCTGAGCTCTGAATCTTTAGGAATTTCTTTACTCAGTGTCTGCTTGTTCACGAGAGAGGAGGAGACCTGATACTTGAAGCTGTGTCTTGGATTTAGGAAAGATGGGTCTGTTTTTTTCAGTGTTACATCTTACTGATGAGTTCCCCCTTTATTTTTTTTCCTCCTTTTTCTGTTTTTCTTGCTAAAAGTGCCATAGGGAAGATCATTTCTTATTAGAGGTGACTGTTGGTGCATCAGCTGTTCTAGCACTGCCATATGGATATGGATTCATATCTGGAGTTGCTGGGATATGATAACTGAGCTTCTTTTTCTCTGTTTTCTTTTTCCCCAGTTGGGAGGCTGTGGAATCCTTGGAGTAGGCATCTGGCTGGCTGTTACCCAAGGAAACTTTGCCACCCTGTCCTCTTCTTTCCCATCACTGTCAGCTGCCAACCTGCTGATCGTCACGGGGACGTTTGTCATGATCATTGGCTTCGTGGGCTGCATAGGTGCCATCAAAGAGAACAAGTGCCTCCTGCTGAGTGTGAGTATCAAGCTGCTGGGGGGTTTGCTGCCCAAAGGGGCTGCTGCCATTCCAGTGCATGCTGCCCAGGATTTCAGCATGCATCCTGGATTTCAGCAGCAGTTGGCATGGATGAGATGTCAGTCAGGTTGGGATTAGTCTTTGAGGGCTTTAAGAGACCTTTAGGGGCTGCTGGATCGTTCCTGCCCATGCTTTTAACGTGCCCTTGGAGGATGAGACCTGCAAGAAAGGGGTGGTCACTGGTGGTAGATGAAGAAATCTTTGGCAGTGTACCCTTGAATTGTTTTTGATTTGGATTTGGGAGCTGTCTACTCCAAACGTCTACCCTGGTGGGCCTGATGATCTGAAAGCCTGGGCAGAAGGATCAGTCTAGGCAGGAAACGTTGTAAAGAGGTTGATTTTGGTTTAAATTGGAAATCAAGCCCTTCAGATTTGGCAGTGCTGATCATGAGCTCTCAAGAGGCTGAGATGTCAGGAGGGAGAGGTGCCAGCACAGGGACAGTGCTGTGAAATCAAAGGTGCCCAAGGTGCCAGCTCTCCATGGCTCAGCAG